CACCTAGTGGTACCGTCGGGTGCATCCAAAATGATTTTTCAGCTAATGGTATGTCTAGCACAAACCATGAAACTATCTTGCACCGACACTAACACTGTCTCCAAACAGAAAGAAGTGAGATTCCACAAGACCCACGTCACCTAGGAGTTCCATCGGGTGCATCCAAAACGATGTTCGAGCCTATGGTACATTTGATGCAAACCGTGCACCTATCTTGTGTCAAGATTAGCACTTTGTCCAAATGGTCCAAAACAAGCTTTCACTTGAGCCTCATCACCTAGGAGTACCATCAGGTGCGTCCAAAACGATTTCTGAGCCGATGGTACATTTAGCGCAAACCGTGCACCTTTCTTGCACCGACACTAACACTGTCTCCAAATGGAAAGAAGTGAGATTCCACATGACCCAAGTCACCTAGGAGTTCCATCAGGTGCATCCAAAACGATGTCCGAGCCTATGATACATTCGACGCAAACCATGCACCTATCTTGTGTCAAGATTAGCACTTTCTCCAAACGGACCGAAATGAGCTTTCACTTGAGTCTCATCACCTAGGAGTACCATCGGGTGCGTCCAAAATGATTTCTGAGCCTATGGTACGTTTGGCGCAAACCGTGGACCTATCTTGCACCGACACTAACATTGTCTCCAAAGAGAAAGAAGTGAGATCCCACATGACCCACGTCACCTAGGAGCTCCATCGGGTGCATCCAAAATGATTTCCGAACCTATGGTATGTTCGACGCAAACCGTGCACCTATCTTGCGTCAAGATTAGCTCTATGTCCGAAAGGCCAAAAGGAGCTTCCACTTGAGCCTCGTCACCTAGTGGTACAATCGTGTGCGTCCAAAATTATTTCTAAGCCTATGGTACGTCTAGCGCAAACCATGCACCTATCTTGCACCGACACTAACACTGTCTCCAAATGGAAAGAAGTGAGATTCCACATGACCCATGTCACTTAAGAGTTCCATCGGGTGCATCAAAAATGATTTCCAAGGCTATGGCATGTTCGACGCAAACCATGCACCTATCCTGCGTCAAGATTAGCCATCAAGATTAGCACTATGTCCAAACGGACCAAAACGAGATTCCACTTGAGCCTCGTCACCTAGTGGTACCTTCGGGTGCATCCAAAATGATTTCAAAGCCTATGGTACGTCTAGCGGAAACCATGCACCTATCTTGCACCGACGCTAACACAGTCTCCAACTGGAAAGAAGAGAGATTCCACATGACTCACGTCACCTAGGAGTTCCATCGGGTGCATCAAAAACGATTTTTGAACCTATGGTAAGTTTGACACAAACCATGCACCTAACTTGTGTCAAGATTAGCACTATCTCTAAACGGACCAAAACGAGCTTCCACTTGAGCCTCTTCACCTAGTGGTACCTTCGGGTGTGTCCAAAATGATTTCTAATCCTATAGTACGTCTAGCGCAAACCATGCACCTAAGTTGCACCGACACTAACACTGTATCCAAATGGAAAGAAGTGAGATTCCACAAGACCCACGTCACATAGGAGTTCCATCATGTGTATCAAAAATGATTTCCAGCCTATGGTACGTTCGACGCAAACCGTGCACCTATCTTGCGTCAAAATTAGTAGTATCTCCAAACGGACCAAAACAAGCTTCCACTTGATACTCATCACCTAATGGTACCGTCGGGTGTGTAAAAAAGGATTTCTGAGCCTATGGAATGTGTAGCGCAAACCATGCACCTATCCTGCACCGGCACTAACACTGTCTCCAAACAGAAAGAAGTGAGATTCCACATGACTCATGTCACCTAGGAGCTCCATCGGGTGCATCCAAAATGATTTCCGAGCCTATGGTACGTTCGATGCAAACCGTGCACCTATCTTCCGTCAAGATTAGCTCTATGTCCAAAAGGCCAAAAGGACCTTCCACTTGAGCCTCGTCACCTAGTGGTACCACCGTGTACGTCCAAAATTATTTCTAGGCCAATGGTACGTCTAGCGCAAACCATGCACCTATCTTTCACCGACACTAACACAGTCTCCAAATGAAAAGAAGTGAGATTCCACATGACCCACGTCACTTAAGAGTTCCATCGGGTGCATCAAAATGATTTTAGAGGCTATGGTATGTTCGACGCAAACCATGCACCTATCCTGCGTCAAGATTAGCACTATGTCCAAACAGACCAAAACGAGCTTCCACTTGAGCCTCGTCACCTAGTGGTACCTTCGGGTGCATCCAAAACGATTTCAAAGCCTATGGTACGTTTAGCGCAAACCATGCACCTATCTTGCACCGACGCTAACACAGTCTCCAAATGGAAAGAATAGAGATTCCACATGACCCACGTCACCTAGGAGTTCCATCGGGTGCATCAAAAACGATTTTTGAACCTATGGTACGTTTGACACAAACCATGCACCTAACTTGCGTCAAGATTAGCACTATCTCCAAACGGACCAAAATGAGCTTCCACTTGAGCCTCGGCACCTAATGTTACCTTCGAGTGTGTCCAAAATGATTTCTAATCCTATAGTACGTCTAGCGCAAACCATGCACCTAAGTTGCACCGACACTAACACTGTCTCCAAATGGAAAGAAGTGAGGTTCCACATGACCCACGTCACATAGGAGTTCCATTGGGTGTATCAAAAATGATTTCCAGCCTATGGTACGTTCGACGCAAACCGTGCACCTATCTTGCGTCAAAATTAGCAGTATCTCCAAACAGACCAAAACGAGCTTCCACTTGAGCCTCGTCACCTAATGGTACCGTCGGGTGTGTCCAAAAGGATTTCTGAGCCTATGGGATGTGTAGCGCAAACCATGCACCTATCCTGCACCGACACCAACACTATTTCCATACGGAATGAAGAGTGATTCGACATGACCCATGTCACTTAGGAGTTCCATCGGGTGCATGAAAAATGATTTCTGAGCCTATGGAACGTTCGACGCAAACCGTTTACCTATGTTGCGTCAAGATTAGGACTATCTCCAAACGGACCGAAACGAGCTACCACTTGAACCTCATCAACTAGTGGTACAATCAGGAGCGGACAAAACAATTTCTGAGCATACGGTACGTCTAGCGCAAACTATGCACCTATCTTGCACCGACACTAACACTATCACCAAACTAAAAGAACAGAGATTCCACATGACCCATGTCACCTAGGAGTTCCATCGGGTGTATCAAAAATGATTTCCCAGCCAATGGTACATTCGATGCAAACCGTGCACCTATCTTGCATCAAGATTAGCATTATCTCCAAATGGACCAAAACTTGCTTCCACTTTGCCACATCACCTAGTGGTACCGTCGGGTGCATCCAAAACGATTTCTGAGCCAATGGAATGTGTAACGCAAACCATGCACCTATCTTGCATCGACACAAACACTGTCTCCAAACGGAAAGAAGAGAGATACCACATGACCCACATCACCTAGTAGTTCCATCGTGTGCATCGAAAATGAT